TGCATCCCTCCAGAGCCCTGCATCCCCCTGCCCCTGCCTCTCCCAGCCTTGCATTCCTTGGCTCCACATCCCCGCGGGTTCCATATTCCCCCGGGGCTCCACATGCCCCCGCCAGGCTCCATATCCCCCCCTGCCCAGCAGCTCCCTGCTGTTCGCAGCTCCGGTACCGCTGCAGAGGAGCAGCCCCTCGGGGGAACCGGGCACCCCTGCCTGCCAGCCCAGCACCCTGCCCGCTGCAGCGGGGCACACAGAGCCTCTCAGTCCAGCACTTCTGCAATTTTCCCTTGGTTGCTGGTTCTCCCTCCTGCCCGTGCAGAGCGAGCGCCTGTGAGGCTGCGCTGCTGCAGACGGAGGAAACCGGTCTGCAGGTCTCCTGCCCAGGACAAAGCATCCGGAGTCCACGTGGGGTTTAATCTCTGCTGAGTTGTTACTGCTTCTAGATGCAGCAGAAAAACATATATCCATATAGAAGCAGTGTTACTACCCTGCCGATAAAGGCACAAGCTCTCTGGGCCAGGAGGAAAAATGAGTTATCCAAAGTGTTCAAAAGCGGAGGGAAGCGCCCGGAGCGGCCCCCGGCCTGCACAGCGGGGCTCCCTCCAGCCCGCCCCCCTCTGCACAGAGCACGAGCATGAAAAATGTAGCAGCACGTGCAAGAAAAACCTGCAAGTGAGCAGGGGAAGAGTCTGCTCTGGATAAGCCTTCGGGAACACCGGAGATTACAGTGCAAATAAACACACACCAAATAAACCTAAAGCTAATTTGCAACTCTGCTGAGTAGATTAAAACCAAGCAAATAGATTTTACTCCTGTTTGTTTTTCCAATTTTGGAAAAGCAAAACGCTTTTGTGGGTTGAGCTCTTGAGACTTTCTAGGCCGCTGCTCAGAGGAATTAGCCCTTGCTTCAAGGAGCCCCGGCCTTCCTGCGAAAACCTCCCTGCCTCTGTTTGCCCCACTGACCTGCCATCAATCTCCCATCCCTCTGGAAACGCCTCCTGCTCTCTCTTCCCCTCAGTTATCATTTAATTCAGGAGAGCACTTCTGGGAATAGCGTGTGCGAAAATGGCCGGGGACAAACAAAGCCGATTTAACCAGACAAGGAGCTGAACCCTGTCCCCTTCTCCCGTCCCTGCAGCACCGCAGCAGGGAACTGCGAGTCCATGCACCCTGCAGCACTGCAGCAGGGACACTGCAAGCCTTGCAACACCGCAACACTGCAGCAGGGACACTGTGAGTCTTTCCCCAGCAGTCGGGGGGTGGTTTGTCTTCCCACAGGAGAAAAAGGCACCTTTACAGAGGGTGCCTATACTTGGGCTTCCTCCAGGCACTTCTGGAGCCTGGAATTTGCCATTCAGCCATTCCTGGTGAACAAGGGCTTGAGCTTGAACCTGTTTCAGATGGAACCACCCCACTCTGCGCTGCCCCGCACGAGGCCGAGCTCCCCCTGTTCGGGAGCAGCCGGACCCTCCCCAGCCCATGGACGGGGGCTGCGTGGGGGCCACGCGGCGTCACAAGGACTCGTGCACCCGCCGCACAGCTGGGCCCTGCCTGCCCCGCGCAGCCGTGGACAATCCCCGCAGCGGGAAGAGCCCTGGGCACGGCTGGCTGGGCTCCCCGGGGTCCTCTCCCATCCAAAGGGACACCTCGTCGCCGTGTTTCCGGGATAATCCAGTTCTTGCTCCCACCACTCCCGTCAGCCTGACCCTGGATTCTTCTTCTCTCCAGAGGCTCCCTGCCTGCCCCCTTCCCCGCTGTTTCGCTGGGTCATGGCACTGCACCCATCCCAGTTCCCCTCTGCCCTTCTCTCCTTCAAATCTCTCAAAACTCTCCTTTGCTGCCTCAGCCAGGCCAGCCACGTGGGCTCCTCCCTTGGGCTCTCTTCTGCCCTTCCCCTTGCAAAGAGAAGTTCTTGAGTTGGGGTCTTTTCACTTTGTGTTCCTTAAGCCAAAAATATGTTTTATCGCCTAGAGCCTCCCGCAGCGCAGCCTTGTCACTCGGGAGCCTGCGCAGCCGAGACCCCAGCCCCGGTAAAGGCAGAGGGTTCCCCTGGTCTCGGTGCCCAGCGCCCGCCTGGACCTCACCACACGCACATGGATCCAGCCTGGGCTCCTGCAGAGCCGGTGGCTCTTCCCATCCCTCCTCCTCGAGGTTCCGCAGGATGTCCGGGACCACCCCATAAAGCCCCTTCATAAAAATAAGGTTAAAAACACGTCAGCCACATAACATCGCGAAAGACTGTGGCGAGAGGCTGGGAGCTTCAAAGGGAAGCTCGCACCAAGGGAAATGCTCAGCGCTTCTCTCAGAGCCGGCCACAAAATCCTCTCTTTCCTAGAAAACAGGATGCGCTGCCACCGCCGGGGCTGGAGCACGAGGCCTCGCGGAGCAGCATGGGCAGGAGGCCCACGCACCACGTCGGGAGCCAGGCCCTGCTTCTCCAGCTGAAGAAAACAGGGGAAATGGAGCGGACCAAGGCAGCTGAAGCAGGGGACATTGACCTGCCACTCACTTTGGAGGACATTCCTTTTTCCTTGTTTTCCCCCCACATCCCCCATTGCCTCTTGCTGCTGTTTTGACTCCAGGATCTGTGGTCTGTGGCCACAAGAAGGCCAATCTCCAGCTCCACTTGTCCTCAGCTCTGATGAGTCCATCAGTGACAGATTCTGCTTGAGAATGGCCTGGCAGTGGGGCCCTCATCCACGGACCTGATGGCTGCTATGGAGCCTTTCTCTGGGCCAAGGTCTCCTTCACCCACAGCAGGAAAACTGGCTGCTGGAGGCCCAGGAGGCCCGGGGATGGGGGCAGCAGTCCCTGCCCTCCCCACTGGGCAAACGCTGAGCTAATTCCAGCCCAGCCGCCTTCTCCTCCCTGGAAAATGCTCCATTCTGCTGAGGACCAAGACTGACTTTTGCGATGTTCTCCCCCATGCGAATGAATCCTCGCCATGGGCAGGACCGGCGCAGCCGTGGGGCAGAGCGGAGCGAGATGCCGCAGTGCCATGGGGCTCCCCAGGGGTCCCCGTGCCGCGGTGCTTCCCGTTGATGCCCAAGCAGGATGTTGGGAGCGCGTCCCTGTCTTGGGTCCGTCACTCAGCTTTCCCCGGGGCCCGACTTGCTGCCTGGGAAATCTGGTACCGATACCGAGTGATCCGTGCAGGACCAGCCTCCATTCACTTCCAAACTCCTGGCCTCCAAACCCACACCAAAAATCACCTCTTTGCTTGTTCCAGGGTTTCTGCTGCTCAGCGCCAGGCACACTCACCTGCAATTATTCATTTGTAGTTATAAAAATTCACATAAGACTTTATGTAAATACAAAAATTTACATAAGCCTTTATGTAAAATCCAAAGTCCCTCAAGGACCATTACGTCCACATGCTCTGGCTTTCCCGTGTTACAATCCATAACTTTCCCAGAATAAATTTTAGTTAACACTAAGCATATTTTTTAAGGAAAAACATACCCTTCTGATTTATTAAACTACCAATGTGGCCAGTTCACCACAAAACTGGATATTTTAAAAATTTATTTTATTTTAATCCACAATTACCCACAGTGTAAAAACCTGCTTCTTGTTTTAAGGTGCATTTAATACTTTCGACCAAACCATGCAGGCACTTCCACCCATCTATGTTTTTTTTACCTCCTCAGGCTTATTAAAGGAAGGTGCAAGGTCCCAGCCATTCAGAGGCCTTATGAAATGATCACACTCAACGCAGAGATGCAGAGATACTGCGAGAAGAAAAGGACGGAGTGTCAGAGATGACCAGTAAATATCCCCCTGGACTGGCCTTTGTTGGCGGCACTTTGCTGCTTAACTCCTCGTTTAGGAGCTGCTGGGCATTTCTGCGCCTTGAAAGGCTCCACCAAATGCTCCCACTCTCATTTGCAACTGAAAGTGCCTGGAATAAAACAGAAGCACCGTGTCCTGCAGCCACACTCTGCACAAAAGGTTTTTTTGCAGGATCCGCAGCTGCTGCCAGGGTAAAAGGGATCCCCTAAAAGAGTCCGGCAGCTCCACATGGATCGCTGGGAGACATTGGCTGATCTTGTTTTCCTGCGCTTGGGAAACTGTCCCACTCTCATTTGCAACTGAAAGTGCCTGGAATAAAACAGAAGCACCGTGTCCTGCAGCCACACTCTGCACAAAAGGTTTTTTTGCAGGATCCGCAGCTGCTGCCAGGGTAAAAGGGATCCCCTAAAAGAGTCCGGCAGCTCCACATGGATCGCTGGGAGACATTGGCTGATCTTGTTTTCCTGCGCTTGGGAAACTGCAAAATAGCAGCGCTGGGCAATGGAGCCCGTGATCAGCCCCGGTGTCTCCAGCAGGA